TGTACTTGGTACGTTGATCCGGCGCATGTGGGTGGGAGATTCTGTCGAGGAGATGCCTTCGGCCGTAGATGATTGGTCGAAGGCTCTTCATACCGGGGGCCTCCAAATACCGAGGGCTCTAGGTGCCGAGGGCTCCTGTTTTCGTCGCTTTCTCCCAGACACTTTGAGGGCTTTAAAGAAGTTGTACTCTTAGCTTATGAGCCTTCGGTCAGGGGGTCGAAGGCACCCCAGTGTTCGTCGTGGCCTGCTTGTAGGGTTGTAAACGAATCGAATAATTTTGATCCGATTCGCGATTCGAATTCGAAATTGATGATTCGAATTCGAAATATTCGAATACGAATTCGAATACGAATCAATTTTATTATTCGAATAAAATTCGAATACGAATACGAATATACATATATTCGATTCGTAAGTTATTCGAATATATTCGATTTGTATACTTACGAATTATAAATATATATTCTATTATATTTATAATTTTGAAATAATTCATATAATAGACATTTGTGAAAATCGAAAAATGCCTAAAATGAGTCATAATTTGAATAGGTGAATTTTTTTTGAAACTTCAAATATTTGAATTGGAATTCGAATATTCGAATTCGAATATTCGAATTCGAATTCGAATATTCGAATACGAATATACTCAAATACAATAAACGAATCGAATACGAATCGATTGTAAGATTCGAATAATATTCGAATACGAATACGAATATTCGTCAATTTATACGAATACGAATAATATTACTCACTATTCGATTCGATTCGTTTACAACCCTACCTGCTTGGCACTTGGGGCGCTGTAATTTGGGCCTGCCATGCTTCCTGGGCCTGTTGGGCCTTTGCTACAGTAGTGGGAGTCTATGGGTCGGGGGTTCCTGGGCCATATACTCCATCAGGAGTCCCTCACTCCTTTTGCCGAAAGGTACTTGAGGGAAAAGGAGTAATTGTGGTTGTCCTCTGATGTTGCCTTGCTAGTAGCTTGTAAACCTGTGAGAGATCTGCGTTTGCACATGATTCTGCCGGGGGCAGCCCTTAAGTCCCCCATACCTTGGGACAGAAGGGTTATGTTGCTGGCTTGGGGAAATTTTTGACATTTTGCATTTTTGTGATTTTTCTCGAGGGGGTCCTCCAGTCCCCCACTCCTTGAGGCACATGTAATGTGGTGAAGAGGAGTGGAATAGTGCCCGTTGTCGCATAGGGCCGAAGGTTGACACTTTTCGTTTCATTTTGGGGAGATGCCTAGTTAAAAACCTCATTAGGAAAAACCATGTGGGAAAAATTCCTAATGAGGGAAAAAGAGTGCACCGAATTCCCCCAATGATAACTCGAAAAGGTGAAACCCTGGTCTGAGATGAAGGACAAAGTTTATGCCGAAGGCTACCCTCGATCTGAGGGCACATGGTTTGACTTACCAAAGGCGCTTTGTAAATATCTCGGGAGATGCCGAAGGGGAGTCCCTCAATCCATGGGGTTGAGGGTGTGATGAATGTAGGTGGTAGTTGATGTGTTGCCGAGGGGGTTCTCTGGCTACGACAAGCTGGGGATGAGGGCACCCGAGGGCCCCGTTATTGTATGTTGAAGGTTGTCCACCTAAGAAGGGTGTTGAGTCTGATGTTCCCGCGGGGTCTCCTTGTTGCGTGGCCGGGAGGACAGTTGGTGAAGGCTCCCGAGGGGTCTACCTGTTGTTAAGCCATGGGCTCTTGATTGAGAAAGCCCGAAGGCACTTGTGATGTTGTATGAGGGGTACCGGCCGAGAGCACCTCTGTGTTTTCAAAATATAGTTGTTGCAATCAGACCATTGGCACATGGAACGTTTAAAAAGTAGCCATTGGAGAGGACTTCCACGTGGCGCGTGGCCGTTGGATAGCTTTGGGCGGGCGTCACCGGTTGGCGGAAGGGGTGGCGCGTAATGATGGCTTTCGTAACCAGAGGCCCGGTTTTGGGCCCAAGCCCGGATCTGGGTGCCTATAAATACCCCAAGGCCAAGGCCATTTTCCTTGTGCGATCATACTGTAGCGAAGCTCTGGCCAAATATTTCTAGAGAGAGAAAGTTCCCTTCGGTCAAACCAAGTGCTCAAGGTCAGTTCTTCCCTCGTTCCTCCCTTCAGCTGCATTCTTAGTTTTTCCTGCCTTAGGTTAAGTGCTAGGGTTGGTTAGGAAGCCTTCGTCCTTTAGCCTTCGACCTTTAGTTTTCGAGAATGTCATCTGCAAGCGATTCGCAAGACATCTCGAGGGAGCCTTCGGTTGAGGTGGAAACTTACTCTGATGTTGAGCCTTCACGCGGAATGTTATGTCACACAATTGCACGTGGGGCCCTCGGGTTCCCGAAGGGTGTATAGCGGTGCATATCCTCTCGGTCGCCATGGGCCTCCGGTTCCCCTTGCACCCGTTTCTTCGTGAGTACCTCCGGTTCGTGGGTCTGCTTCCTTGCCAACTCACGCCCAACAGTCATTCTTACATCACTGGTTTCCTTCACCTCTGCCGAACCCGGGGGGTGGCCCCCAGCTTGGACCAATTCTTCCAAAGCTTTAATCTCTGCCGAGGGGTCCATGCAAACGCCGAGGGGTTTGCGAATCTGCAGCAGGTAGCCCAGTGGAAGCTGTTCACCGAGGCGCCCTCCTCAAATAAAGGCTGGAAGGAGCGATGGTGCTACGTCAGGATAGCTGAGAGCCCCTTCCCGAGGGAGTTGCGGGACCGTTTTAGGCGGCATGAGAAGATAAGAAGTGCCGCCCTCGAGAAAGATGGCCTTAAGCTTGCCAAGATCCTGGAGGGACGCAACAAGAACGTGACGATCAATGAGTACACCCTCGAGGAGGATCTGTATGCCCTCGGCTTCCGGCGGTACCTCTACCTGGGGGAGATAGATGAAAAGTTCCCCCTCCTTGATCGAGCCTTCGAGATCGCCGGAGGTGATTATCGAGGGCCCTGAGTTTCGTACTTAGGAAAATTTTTTAGTACTTCTGATATATTCCCATGCTTTCTACCCTCCGGGCTTAATTCTTTATTGTTGCTTTGCAGGTGTCGGTATGGATGCGAACGCCCTCTTTGCTCTGAAGAAGAAGAAGGGCAAGGCCCAAGCTCAGAAGAAGGACCCTTCGGGCCAGCAGCCCGTTGAGGCCTTCTTCCAGAAGGAGATACCGAAGCCCTCTACTGTGGCTGCCACCGCTGATGTGGCCGGGGGGGCATGAAGAAGAAGAAGGGTAGCAAGGGGGTTGAGCCCCCTGCCAAGAAGCGGAAAGTTGTCGGGGATGTTGCTGAGAAGGCGGACCCCGTGGTGATTATAGAGGATCGGTCCTCTGCTGAGCCCCCGACCTCGGCTGCACTGATGGCCCCTTTCAACGACCCTTCGGGGGAATTTCCTCGGGAGACCTTGCAGGTTCCCCTCGTCAAGGGGACTGCAGTGATGTACGACACAATAGAGCCGAAGGCTTTTCTGGGGAGCATCACCTCAGATCTGGATAGAAAGGCCCTCGGGACCTTTGATGATGAGGCCCTCGAGAACAAGATCCTCCGGTCTTCCCTCACAGTAAGTCTCTTTTCCTCATTCTTACTTTTCATTCCCTTAGTACATCTTGGATGATAACTTGACTCCCTTGATCATTGTTTACAGGTCTGCATAGCCCTCGGCGAGCAAGCCCGGCGGCTGGAAGAATGGCGCCTCCAGAGAGCCCAGCAGGAGGAGTCCCTGAAGAAGCTTGTTCTTGAAAAAGATGCTTCCCTTAGAGAAATGTGCAAGCTGGAGGTGGCCCTTCAAGAGATGGAGTTGAAGATGGAGGCTGCCAGGGCAGAGGCTAGGGCCGAGGGGAAGGCTGAGACCGAGAGCGCTGCTGCCGAGGCCGTCAAGAGAGCCGCCGATGAGGCCGAGAGGGCCAAGAATGAGGCGGTAGCGAAAGCAGGGAAAGCCGCGGTTGAAGCCTTTACTGTCGAAGGCTGGGAGGCCACCGATAGGGACGAATGGGTCTCCTCTGTGGTGCGGAAGAAGGTCGACGCCTGGGTTGAAGGCCCCGGTAAGGAGTGGTTGGCCGAGAGAGGCGACTGCTACTACCAAGGGGGTGAGTTCTTCACTTAGCACCTGATATACCGGAGGCTTGCTCGTCACTTCAACGTCTCCCTCGATCAGTTCGACCCGACGGTGTACGACCTTCCCTCGTTGCAGCCTGATGTGAGAGTCCCCCTCCCCCCGGGCGAAGAGAGGCCTGTGATTGATGACTCCATGATGATGGGGGAGATGACGATGGGGCCGCCGGGGAAGAGGTCACCTCCAAAGTTGCCGAGGGAGAAACCGTCGAATGATCTTGTATTTGTAATTCTTTGAACAATTTGATGTAATGACAATCTGTAGCTCTCGGCCTCGGCCTGTTTGTACCAAACACTTACATTATTCTTGTCCTCTTTTATGGATGATGCCTTCGGGCTTTTGTATATAATTTGCTTTCATCTTTGAATGTATGCCTTCGTCTTTTCTTTGTGAATGAATGCCTTCGTACTTCGATGTTTGGGTTGTCAGTTGTTTTTGGACTTAGGAAATTTTTCTAAGTGTTGTTTTTTCCATCAAGCCTTCGGTTGTGTGGCCCCTCTGGCTGCATGGATATTTGACCGAGGGCCAAATATTTACTCCCCTTCACCCCATTTTTTGAAGTGATTTGTTGAAGTTATGTACTCATTGTTTTCTCGCTGAGTCTACTCCCCTTCACCCCATTTTTTTTTGGGTAATGAAGGGAAGGCATCAAGAAACTTGGTTTCTTGGTAAGGCTTGGCCTATCGGGAGGCAACATCATACACCATTAGCTCCCCCCTCGGGTTAACCTTCCGAGTTCCGAGAGGATCGAGGGTCGTTTCCTGGGCATGAGACATAGTCTGTAGCCTGCCTCCCCTTGGGGGATGGCACGGAAAGCGCCTCAGTTTTGAAAGTCGTTCCCTGGGCACGAGACATAGTCCGTGGCCTGTCATACCCTTGGGGTAATGGCGCGGGAAGCGTTTCGTTTTTGAAAGTCGAATCCTGGGCATATTAGTTGCCTGCCATACCCTTGGGGTAGTGGCGCGGAAAGCGCTTCGATTTTGAAAGTCAAATACTGGGCATATTAGTTGCCTGTCATACCCTTGGGTAATGGCGCGGAAAGCGTTTCAAGGAAGGGTTTTCATTTGCACACTGGTTGCAAATGGCCGGGGGCACTACGTGCTGTCAGCACCGATAGGTATGCCTTCGGTATGAATGCGTCCTCGAGGGGTATGGCTTCAGAAACAACACTTGGGACACGTTTACTTCACAGGTTAGTAAACGGTGCTTATTAAGACTCGCGTTAATAAGTGCCGTATAAAATAAGCAGTGTTGTAAGCTCATGTTTACTTCAAATGATTTAAAACACCGTTTAACATTAAAATGTCCAAAATAACCCTATAGGTAAGTAAGGTGGGGGTTGGGTATGGTTGGGTCAAGGGTGGGGGTGGGGTCGGGGTCAGGGTGGTGTTGGGGTCGGGGTGGGGTCGATGTAAGGTAGGGTAGGGCGGGGGTAGTGGGGTAGCAATAGGTATAAACAAAATATACACTTTGACTTGATGGTTTGACTTGAGTATTTAAAGTACAAAATAAGTGGATCAAAGTTCAAAAATTAAAATAGAGTTTTGACTTGAATATTACTAAAAAGCGGATAAGGAAAAAAATGGCATTTTTAATTCTAAAAATGTGACTAATAACACAATTATATCCCTAGAGTAAGAGTTGCATTCCTCAAGTGACATAGTGACTGGTTGCTATTCCCTTCACCTTACATCGGTGGACAGAAATGAAGAACATGAAAAATAAAAGCAGAAGGCGGAAGCAGGACAAAATCATTTAAGACGATTGCTGAGTATGAAAACTTCTCATTTATAATATATATATATATATATATATATATATATATATATATATTAAAGTATTAAATATAAGTGTATTACTTATAGTAATATACTTATAGTTCAGCGCAAAATCCATGAATGACACATCAAACATTGACAAAGTTTAGTGTTACTGAGTGCACAGACATTGCGGATTGCCACAAATAGTTCACTGCAAAGGAAAGGTTTGCTGAGAAGTGATTGTAACCAAGGCATCCCAAAACGGATTTGAGTAGGCTGAACTTATATGCCATTCCATATACAAATGAAGTCTGAAATGAAGAAAAAGAAGTATAATTTAGATCAGATATGACAAAAGAACGATAGATTGATTCTTGATCAGCGTACACACGCTGACAAATCTTTTTATATTCAAACGTCATAACATTCTTGGATCGTGTTCAGGATGTGACCTGTTTTCAATGAATATGTGCTTTTATAGGAATTATAATTATTTTACTTTAAGAAAACAATGAAGAAGAGACGTTTGGCAAGGAAATGAAAAACAGAAGTGTTTTTCATTCCCAAAAATAATTTTTATGCTTATTTCAAAAGGCACTGGGATTGAGGCTTTTTGGAAGGAAAAAGAAAAGGGCTTTTTCCTTGAATATTACCAAATTAAAGGCAATTTCCAAAAAAGTGACCATTTTTATAAAATGACAAAAAAGTGACTAAGGAGGTCATATATTTGGAAAACCTGATGTAACTGTGAAATTTTATGTCACTGCAAAAAAATTATGTCACTTTTGAATGTCACTATAGCTACGCCGATGTCACTGAAGCCACCACCATGTCACTTCAGCTACCGTCGAAGTCACTGAAGCCACCGCCGGTGTCACTGGGGGGATGTCACTTTGATCGCCGATAAATTTTCCGGCGACTTTTTTCCGATAAAAAACGTATATTTCAACCAAATATGCTTGCCACCCCGTCTGCACCGCCAGAGCATCACCACTGTCCCACACCACACACCATCACTGCACCACTGCAGACACCGTCCCTCCGGTGGGTCATGCCGCTGGCCGCCGGCCGTATGTCATCCAGCACAGCCATTACCAGACAATCCCCACCAGCCCCCATGGATGCCCTCCCAGCCCCTTGTAGCAGACCAACCCCTCCCAATCGTCACACCCCATCCCACAGCCATATCCGCCGCCCAAATCAACCTCACCACCGCCCAAATCAACGTCACTGCCTGACCTTCTCCCAAATTCACACCAGCGCCAAATCTGTTGCAACCATTACCGTCCAGATCTGCGAAGCCCTTGCATCCTCGTCGATTCTCAACCGTCTCCGTCAGATTTACACATCAATCGACTTAGAAGCTTCTGTGCTCATGGAGAAGGAGAAGGAAATTCGGTCTGATTCCGGCGGTCAAACGACTGAGGTGGCGGTCGAGCAAGGGAAAACGTGTGTGCTGGAATGGTGAGAAAGAGGGCATGGTGTCTTGGTGAGATCTGCTCCTGTCCTCTGCGAAGGAGATGCGAAAGGGAGAAGACGGAAGACCCAAGGGCCAAGATGCCCGTAAGTGATGTTTTGGGAGAAACTAAAAATGCTCATATTTTTGGAAACTAAAACTATATGAGTAATAATTGTGCCATTTATTCAAAAGAAAAACACATTTGGTGTTATAAAAACGCTTATAGCATTAGTCAACCCCAACAGGCTCTTTTATTTAAATCCTGTACCTTTTGAACCCAGTAGTGCTTTTGGATGCAGAGAATCATCAGCCTCACTTGAAGAAAGACAAAAAGAACTACTCCACAAAGTCAAACGTGTCAATGGAATCCAACTCTTTTGGATTATGAACAAGGCGATCAAAGATGCGACAGTGCTTTGGATGCTGAACGATGGCTTCCAATATCTTATCTTCAGACCCCAGGAGGTCTTCTTTGCTGCTGCTACAAGGAACCTGCTCGTCTGCAGATGTAGAAAAGACCAACTCGGATATGAAGTCTTTCTTAGCCTGCCACGCTAACTTCTTAGCCTCTATTGTGGATGAAATGAGGTGATAGACGTGCACAATCTTCGTCTGCCCAAGCCTGTACGCCCTACTCAACGCCTGCCTCTTAACAGAAGGATTCCACACCACATCAAGCAACACAACTCTAGAAGCCCCTATGAGGCATATACCTTCTGAGCACGCCTTTGTTGACGCCAGAAGCACTTTTGCTTCACTTTTGGGATCATTAAACGTGTTCATACATGCTTGACGGTTTTTTGAATGGATATCCCCATCCATGTACAACACTTCTCTTCCTTCAACCCAATCAAAGACAGATTCCAGCTGTTTCTTGATAAGTTCCATTGGGGCAAGAAACTGGCTGAAGACTATAACTTTCTCACCGTGTAAATCACTTAACCGTATTAAGGCAAAGACAAATTCTGTCTTCACTCCGGCATCTGGAACTAACTCAAGACCTTCCACCTCATTCCTATACTCAGAGAAGTCCGGGACGTCTTTGACCAGTGAAGGGTGAACAGAGATCCGAGTCATCAGATAGTCTTCCTCGAAGAATTTCTTCTGTGGAATCAGAGAGAACATATTCTGTTGCAGACGCGTCGGCTTCAAGAAGACCAGGTTGGACCTTAAGCCGGGAAGACGCTCTAAAAGTATAGTCCCCTTGTGTACATGGACTAGTGGGGCAATAATGCTCTTAAGCTCCCTGACATCAATATTGTTATCTTTCCCTATAGAGCTAGTAAGGCGATCCCATCTTTTTTTCCCAGAAATTTTCCTCTGCACGTATTTCGGGCAAATGAGGCACAACGTGTTATACAGCTCGTCAAAATTGTTCTGGAAAGGAGTTCCAGACAGGATTACTCTCCGTGTCGTTTCTAGTCTTGACAAAGCATTCCAAATGAGGCTGTCATCGTTCCGTGGGGTGTGCCCTTCGTCAAGCACTACTAGGCTGGGAACTTTAAGGAGAATCTTCCTCACCCTCTCGTCATCATCTTGATTCTCCTTCACCCTTACTAGCTGCTCAAACAGCCGGTATGAAATTCCCAAAATGCCTGAACCCTTTGCCCAAGAACACAACTTGAGCATACGTTTGGATTCTCTTCCTTTGGGTTCGTTCGGAAAACCAAATCCTGTCCCGTTTTCATTTCCTGACAGGGATGAGTTGTTCACATTGTGGAAGGGAACATCGACCTTCCACTTTCTGAACTCCTCTTCCCATGTGAGAAGCATGCTCCGTGGAGCTATTATTATTGGACGGCAAGAGGGGAAGAGTTTCATGAACGAGAGGAGAAACGTTATGGTGAGGCGGGTTTTACCGGTACCAGGTGCGTGTGAGATTATGCAACCATTCCCACCATCGGACTGAAGCTTCTTCAGATTTTCAATGTGAATATCACCGCCAATGTTCCTCCACAAGAACTCAAACCCCTCACGTTGATGTGGATACATTGCTTCTTTAGTACCCAGAGGAAGGACGTCCCATACCGTCCCTCCTCCATGGATAGATGAAGTGCATTGAGTGTTTCCAGCACCACCAGAAAATGGGAGGTCTTCAGCTGAGAGAAGATCTAATCCACCATAGAATTTCGTGTATCGCCTCACTCCTGTTTTAGTAGCCTGTGCACACAATTTGTAAAAATGAATCTATTATAATTACTTGAACTTTGACCAGATATCTCTTCTAAAATTAGGATAAGCAAAATGCTGTGAGGTAAAGCAAGGTAACAATCATATCTGATGCTAAATGCTAAATATACGGAAGGTAAAGCAAACTATTCTAATCAGTACCTACTGAAATAAATTACACCAGTGCGAGGTCAAACCATTCATACCCTTAGCCACAATTTAGCTCAGGAATGAAATGCAAGTTAATCAAGTAATTAACAACAATCACATCCGTTCTAAATGTGAGAAAACAAAAAAAGTAAAGTTTTAAGCTTGTTACAATATATTAAGATATTTTCCTTTAGAGGTTGTTTGGTAACATTTTCTCATTTTGCAGTTTTATGTATTCAGTTTTTTCCCTTTTCTGTACTTCTAAAATACTATGTATAAAACGTCCTGGGGAAGTCGGTTTAGTATATACGATTTGATTATTTATTATGAAAACATTACATGCTTTTATAAAGTGTCAAAATAAGAAACATATTTTCGATTTTGACAGAAATGATAAATTCTTGTTTACAATAATTCTTAATACTATGTTTTTTACTTCAAAAACAAAAACGCTACATTCTTGAACGTTTTCTTTTAGGGAGTATCTATTTTCATAAGAGTTCAAAAAAAGAAGAGGGAAGATAAAAGCAATAACAAATGACACCTTAGTTTTGAAGAATTAGAAAGCTGAATAAGGACTATTGCTTAAAGTAGTGATGCAGTGCATATTAATGATAGTATAGAATCGACTAGCAATGACTACATGCAATTCAAACAAACAAGGATGCTAAAGAGGGCACAGTCAAGCTTCAACTACTTACGAATGAGGGCAGAATGTACTTCCTCTCCCGATGCACAAAGGAACAATACTTGCACATTAGACCTATCTGTTCATCTAAAATGAGCAAGTGTTTCCCCTTTTGGCAGCAGACTAGTGGAACATCATCATCATGCTTTTCTTCAGAACTGCTGCCATTTTCTTCTGTCTGCATATTTAGAAACATGAAATAAATAAATAAAAATCTACTGCACATGTATAGGTACCAAAGCTTTTCCCAACAAGAAACAAAGAATTATTTATTGAGTTTGGTATCAAAGTGTTTCCCTACAGGAAACAAAAAAATATTTATTGTGTTGGTGATACATAAATAATTAAATATTTTATAAAATGCATGGAATGTCTCATTCCACAAAAGCTAACCTAGAGTTAAAAAAAGAAACAGCACGCTTAGGAGCTAAAATACCAGAGTATGAACCTACCAAAGCTTGAGTGGTCAAGCTCTCCTTGACTTCCTGAAGACCTGATTCAAGATCCATAAAGAGGCCTTCAGTTTCGTTCTCCGATTTGCTTTTTTCAGGTGGAGCAGGATCTTCATCCTCAAACCAGAACTTTAGAGGTAAATGTTTATAAATATTCTCTCGGGAAAAGCACATATCATTCTTTATGAGATCCACATTCCTCCCCCATATAGAGTCAAGAAGTATTTTCTTGAACTGAGGATCTCCCCTCCAGCATTGTGACCTCCTCCTTTTACTCAGATGCTTTACATTCTTCCTGTCATGAGCACAAACATTGTTTTTCTTCACGCATGTATCATCTTCTTTGGCCTCATCATCAAATAAAGACTCAGATTTAGCGCCATCTTTAGAAGCAGGGAGATTGTTTTTAATGAGTTTATTTTCCTTCACTGTAAACTTGGAGGGCAAACATGACCTAAGACGATAAGCAATGCTGCCACCTGGTGCCGCCTTACTACCACCATTCCTCCTTGTCATGCAATTATTTTTATGGTTTCCCGATTTCTTGTCAATCTTATTATGTTGTTTGAGAACAAAGTCTTTCTTCGCAATCCAAGTGACATCATCCACCTCCTCTACATCAACCATTAAACTAACATCATTACCATTGTGTCCCTCCACTTTCTTCTCCGCCTTTTCTGTATTACCGGATAAAAGATCGAGAGATTTACAGAGGAACTCGATGGAATCAAAACAGATATCATTCTTCTCCCTTGCAGCATTACCCATACTGCCCCCGATTTTCAACATGTCTCTACAAGTCACATATTTATCCAAGAACGAAACATAATCATCATCAGCGTAATCACGCTTGTTGTCATTCAACATACCCCCACAGGTTTCGTCCCCCCGTTCCTTCTCCAGTTCAACTCCTGAAGAAACATTATTCTTCTCAATGTTCTCGTTCCCCATACCTTTTTCCATGTTGTTGGAGGATGTGAGCAATATTTCACCATCATCGCCATTCTTTTCAGTGACAAATTTCAACCTCCTTTTCTTAACCCTCTTTAACTCATCACAATCAATGTTACCCTCACTCTCCAACTCCATACTAGCCACAGTTTTGTCCCTAACATTTACTCCCACCATTCCATCAGGGGATCCATCAACTTCTTCTCCTTCATCAATGCCCACTACAACTGGAAGGCTGATACCTTTCCCATCAACACCACCCTCCTTACAACCGTGATGGTTAATCTCATTTAGTTTCTTCTTCTTCCTCTTCTTCTCCTCATTCCACTCTCTAGAAAAGTCATCCCATTGCCTCCTTGTGTATATCCTCCTACCAAAATCCATTTATGTATACCTGAACAAGTAAAAGCATGCAACAAAACAACGCATCTATATCAGCCCACACAGCCTAAATAATAATAACATAATACAAAGAACAATAAAGTGCCCTATAAGAAGGGAAAATGATGGAAACAAATACCCCCAAGAATCTTCTCACCACATTATCTGAAGTTCATTATAGCTGAAATGAATGATGGTATTTGAACTGAAACTCGTTTTCAATTGGAAGAGACCAATTTCAGAACAATTATCTCTGCTTTTAAAAACATAGAAACTTCCAAGAAATCGAACCGCATGCACTGAAATCCACAGTTGATACCCAAGCAAGAGAGTTGTAAGAAGTCTTACCGGATATGACTATGGCGGCAGAGTCACACAGAGCATTTTTGGGCGAAAGGAGACAGAGTCGACTTTAGCCCAAAAGAGGTTTTTAATACCACTCCCTCTTAGAAAGGTTGCTAAATTAACTTTATAGTAACCAAATTTTATTTTAACATTAATACAAGTCTGTCCCTTAAAACTTTTTCAAATTTTACCGTCATAGGTAAAGTAAAAACTGTGTGTGATGGATAGTCTACCCGGGGTATATATCCGAGGGGTTATTGCTGAGAATAACTTAGAGAGAAGTTAGAGCACAAGTAAGTAAGAGAGAGTGTGTATTCAGTATGAATGTCGTGGTTACAAATGGGGAAATGGGGTGCTATTTATAGTAGCAATAAATGCCGGACAGGGACACGTGTCAAGCGCCCATTGGCCGAGAGGTCACCTCAACTGGTTGGCGTTGGCAGCCGCATGTGGCCGCATTTAATGCGGCTGTTGGATGGGACATCTGTACAGGGTACGGTGATCTGTACGCCTGTGAGGCGGATATCATGTCGGGAGAGGTGCCCTCGGCTGCAGAGGACTAGCCGAGGGCTCTAAGTGCCTAGGACCCCTGAGTGCCGAGGGCTCCAGATGCCGAGGGCTACTGTTTTCGCCGTTTTCTCCCAGTTCCTCTGTTTGTTCGAAATATCCACGCTGTGATAGTTTGGAGCCTTCGGCCAGAGGGCCGAAGGCACCCCCTGGTGCGTATTGCGGGCTGCTTGGTACTCTGGGCGCCGTGATTTGGGCCTGTTGGGCCTTCTGGGCCTGTTGGGCCTTCACTGGAGTAGTAGGAGTCTGTGGGCCGGGTGTTCCCGGGCCATATACTCCATCAGGAGTCCCTCACTCCTTTTGCCGAAAGGTACTTGAGAGAAAAGGAGTAATTTGTGTTTGTCCCCTGCCGTTGTTCCGTTGTAATTTCTGAGGTTGGTTTGTTGCTTGCATGTCCCTGCCGAAGGCAGTCCCTCAGTTACCCACATGTCAGGACTTGAGGGCTTGCTTTGCCGTTTGTTGGAATTTTTCACCAATTTTGTAATTTTAGTGATTTTCCCGAGGGGGTCCTCCAGTCCCCCACTCCTTGAGGCACTTGTAAAGTGGTGAAAAGGAGTAGAGTAGTTGCGTTGCTGTTGTGGGCCGAAGGCTGACGCTTTTCGTTTCATTTTGGGGGGATGCCTCGTTAAAAACCTCATTAGGAAAAACCCTGTGGGAAAAAATCCTAATGAGGGAAAAAGAGTGCACCGAATTCCCCCAAGGATGAATCAAAAAGGTTAAACCTTGGTCAAAAATGGAGAATGACGGTAATGCCGAAGGCTTGCTGTTGATGCCTGAGGGTGCCGAAGGGGAGCCCCTCAATCTGGGGATCGAGGGCGCGATGGATGAGGGCAGTAGTTGAATTGTCACCGGGGGGTCCCCTGCTTGTTGGTTAGTTGGCGATGGGGATACCCGGGGGCTCCCATTACCTGTGTGCCGTAGGCTATCCGTCAATGAGGCAACTCCCCGGGGGCTATCCGGTTCTTACAGTGCTGAGGGGGAATCCCCGAGGGGTGCCCTGATATGAAGCCTTGGGTTTCTGAAGGAGTGATACCGAAGGCGTCTGTTATGTACTGTGTAGGGCACAAACCGGGGGCGTCTCTGGGTAAGTGTACCCGGAGGCTCTCCTTGGTGAAGTGGAGTGAAGTAAGAAAACCCGGGGGCTTCCAGAATATAGCCGTTGGAAATATAGCCGTTGGAATATGTAACGTCAGATTTATAGCCGTTGGGGGGGTACACGTGGAGTGTAGCCGTTGGCTGCTCGTGGGCGGGCGTCACCGGTTGGGTGAAACGACGGTGCGTAATGATGGCTTTGGCTGCTGGGAGCCCGGATCTCGGCCCAAGCCCGGATCTGGGAGCCTATAAATACCCCAAGCCAATGCCATTCCTTCTTTACGCATCCAATATCCTTAGCGAAGCTCTGCCAAAAATTCTAGAGAGAGAAACTCAAGCCTTCGGTCAAAACTCAGCTTTCAAGGTCAGTGTCCTGCTTTCCTCTCAAAACTTTTAGTAAGTTCCGCCCTCTGGCCTTAGATTAGGGTTAGAGTCCTGTAGAAAGCCTTCGAAATCTTAGGCACATTTCGTGATAAAAAATGTCATCCGAGAGCGATTCCCAAAACATCTCGGGGGCGCCCTCGGTCGAGGATGAAAGCATCTCCGACGTGGAGTCCAGTAGCAGTCAGCCCTCGGATGGTTGTGATGCAGCTCTCGCCACCGAGGTGCAGAAGGATCTGGTGGCCGAGGCCGAGGCGGAGGAGTTCGAGCGAACCGCCGAAGATGAGGAGTTGGCCCTCGCCGTCCAAGTTGCTGAGGAGGAAGAGGAAAAGGAGAGGGCGCAGGTTACTGTCGCTGTTCTTCCCCCCCGGGGTTCTGGGGAAGCAAGTAGCTCGAGGCCACTGGACCCGACGTCGTTAAGTGTAGCCCCCGGGAAGAAGAGGAGGAAGACGAAGGCTGGCCCCCAGAAGAAAGTAAGGGCCGTCGATCAAGGGGGGCCAGTTGATCTGCCGGAGGGTCACTCCTTCCTGGACACCGCCGCTCTGGAGATTAAGTCCCAAGCTGACAAGGCGGACTTCTACATCACCCAGTTGCATGTAGGGCCCTCGTCCGTAGTAGTCGAGCCAGGTCCTGATGACGTGTTGTCCCGGCCCCCCGAGGGATGTATAGCCGTGCACGTGCTCTCGGTTTCAATGGGCCTCCGATTCCCTCTCCATCCGTTCCTCCGGGAGTACCTGAGGTACACTGGCCTGGTTCCCTGTCAATTGACCCCCAATAGCCACTCATACATAGCTGGGTTCGTGAACCTGTGCAAACTCCGGGGGGTTACACCGAGCTTGGAGTTATTCTTCCAAAGTTTTAACCTATGCCGGGGGGCATACTAATGCCGAGGGCTATGCAAACTTACAGCAGATAGCCCAGTTCAAACTGTTCACCGAGGCCCCTTCTTCCAACAAAGGGTGGAGAGAGCGATGGTGCTATATCAGACTGACCGACAGCCCTTTCCCGAGGGAGTTGCAGAATCGCTTTCGGTGCCACGTGAAGGTCAAGAGTGCCGCCCTCGAGGAGGATGGCCTGAAGATTGCCAAGATTCCAGAGGGTCGGGAAAAGAACATAACCATCAAGGAGTGCATCCTCGAAGAGGACCTATATGCCCTCGGATTCCTGAGGTATCGGTTCATTGGGGAGACCGATGAGAAGTATCCCCTCTATGATAAAGCCTTCAGGGGAGCAGGAGGTAGTAGCTGAGGGCTTTAGATTTTTGTACTTAGAATTTTTTTTTGTCATGTTTGTCGTTGTGTCTCTGACCCCTCGGTTCTAACCTTTTAACTTGTTGTTGTCATTCTTTGCAGGTAGCAAGATGAATGCCAATGCTCTGTTTGCAAAGAGGAAGGGTAAGACCCAGGCAAAGGAGAAGGGGCCCTCGGGCCAGAAGCCAGCCGATGCGTTTTTCCCGAAGGTCGTAGAGCCTTCTGCTGAGGATGTCAATGTTGCTGAGGGGACCGGGGGGTCGAAGGCCGAGGCGGACGCGAAGAAGAAGAGGGGTGGTAAGGGGGTGGAGCCCCCTACCAAGAAGCAGAAAGCCGCCGTGGGCGCTGTTGAGGGGGCGGCCCCCTCATAGTTATTGATGACATGCCCTCCACTGATGGGCCTCTGGCCTCGGTCACCCCGAAGGCTCCGGTGAATCTCCCCCGGAGGAATTACCCTGGGAGATCTGTCAACTCTCCTTTGCCCCCGGTGCTTCACTGATGCACGGTACTGCCGAGCCGAGGGCCTTCCTGCGGGGCATCACCTCGAAGATGGATAGAGAAGTCTTCGAGACATACGACGATGATGCCCTCGAGAACAGGATCCTCCGGTCCTCTCTCACCGTAAGTATCTGCTTCCTGTTTCCTTCTCTTATCAATTTAGTATTTTTTTCTGGGGAATAATCTAACTCCTTTGATCATTGTTTGCAGGCCTGCATAGCCCTCGGGGAACAGGCCCGGAGGCGTGAGGAGCGGCGCCTTCACGAGGCCGAGCAAGATAAGAATATGGAGGGGCTGATTCGCAAGAACTCTGAAGCGATGAAGCATGCTGCGCAGCTGGAGGAGGCCCTCCGGGAGGCGAAGGCGGCGGCGGAGAAGGCCAAGGCCGATGGCATAGCCGAGGGCAAGGTAGAGGCCGAGAGGGTTGCTGCTGAGGCGGCGAAGAAGGCTGCCGATGAGGCCAAAACCGCCAAGGAGGGAGCTGTGGCCAAGGCCCGAGGGGAGGCAGTTGATGAGTTCCTTGCCGAGGGCTGGAGGACCGAGGGCCATAAGGAGTGGGTGGCCTCCGTGGTGGCGGCCTCGGTGGATGCTTGGGTAGAAGGCCCCGGGGTTGACTGGCTGACAGACAGGGGCGACGCCTACTACCAGGGGGGTGAATTCTTTACCCAGCATCTGATTTATCGGAGGCTCGCCAGGCACTTTGGCGTATCCCTCGACCAATTTGACCCCTCAGCATACGGCCTCCCTCCATTGCAACCAGATGTGAGAGTTCCCCTCCCCCCGGGCGAAGAGCGGCCGACGATATACGACTCTGTGATGATGGGGGGTGATGGGGGCAGAGCCGTCGGAGGTGATGCTGCTGGGGAAGAAGTCTCCTCCAAAGCCGCCGTAGAAGATGCCCCCGGAGATAATGATGCTGAAGTCACAGAGAAGATTTGTACTTAGTCAATTTTTGAAAAATCTTTGTAATGAACATTTGTCACCCCTCGGCTTTGGCCATGCTCTGTAACAAATACATTTGAATCCCTTCTTTTTGATGGATGAATGATTGCCTTCAGGCTTTGTATATATGGCTTGTTTTCTCTAATTCCTTTCTTCTTGAATGTATGCCTTCGTTTTTTCTTGAGTGTATGCCTTCGCCCTTTTTGAATGTATGTCTAGGACTTAGAATATTTTCTAAGTGTTTGAACACGGTTGTAGCCTTCGGTAGGTTGGCACCCGAGGGCTCAGCAATAATTAGGACTTAGAAAATTTTTCTAAGTGTTTGAATACAGTTGTAGCCTTCGGTAGTTGGGCACCCTTTGCTGGACAT